CATGTGGGTAACGCAATTTCCATGTAATGGTCTAGAATCCAAAAACCTAAAAGTCTGACATGAAAGATTGAGTGTCACAAGATAAAAAACTATAGACAAGGCTTGGGTACTGATAAGGAAACTATGTGTATCTGAAAAAATATAAAACATTTAGCAAAGTTTATTGTTAGTATAGCCAATTATAAAGTAGATAGTCCATTGTTAGTTAGAAAAGTACAAATAGCTTATCAATGTATGTCAAAAAGGTAGAGCTGAATGTATTAAAAAAATAGCTCTCACTGAGAATAGAGATAAGAGTTAGTGATATACCAAAGAAACAGAATGCAATAAAGAGACACTTACCTTTGGCCAAGTCAATCACCACATCTTTGCCTTCCCTAAGTATTCTTTATAGAAGGTGTTCTCTTCTTTGTGAGTATTTGTGAGATGTCTGAGTTACATAAGGCACTATGGATTAGTGACAGACTTACCAGGTTAGCCCATGACACTATGCATGTTAAAAACATATCAACCTGAATCAAGGTTAGGTAATTAAGATAAAATCTAATTAAATACAACATATAAAAGCCTATAAGGAACTAAATAATAAAGAAGTCACCCAAATACTAAAAGAAAGAAAATAATACTCCTTGAGATTTTATAGAATTGATAGAATATATATTGAATTAATAGATAAAATACTAAGGCATATAAAGTTTAAGTCTCTTATATATAAAAAAACAAGATCACCTTGATTTCAATAAATTATGTAGTAATCTATTTTGAAAATAAAAAAAACTTGAGAAAGTTATTTCAATATAAAATTAAAGTTAATAATCAAAAACTAGAATAAAGTACAAAAAATCACTATAGCAATAGAGTATCAGTGGCCTTAACTAGTTCAAAAGTCCAATTACAATAGTTAAAGAGAGCAACAAATAAGAATATAAAGGTCAAGAAAAAAAAAGTGAAGTTTATTTTAAGATAAACAGGAAAAGAACATCAAGGATATAATATAAACCTGATAATAATCACTAGTCAAAAACTAGTAAACAAATAGCAAGACATATTTTTCCTGCTACTGGTAGTAATAAAGAACCAATAAAAAGAGGAAGAAACTAAGTATCAGATTAAATTATATAAGATTAATCTAAAACTGATAATGAATTTACATATAAAAAGTAATCATATAGACAAAGAATGAATTACAAAATCAAAAATCAAGAGTTGATTATTACTTAAGAGTTTAAAGTATTATAGCTAAGCAAGATAATAGAAAAGCTTGGTAAAAGACTAAATAAGCTAAAAAAAGGACTATTAAAAAAGTGAGTCAACTGTTCTTGAAAGATATATCAGTCCAACTATAGAAAAAAAGAGAATATCAGCTCACTATTCTCAAAATCAATATGAAAAACAAAGATAAAGTACAACAAATAAAAACAAAAAATAATAAGAGAAAACAGAATAATCAAGATCTAATGTTTGTTTGCAAGGCAATTAAAATATCAATACATTTTTACAAATAGAGAAAATTAAATTTTTAAATAATAATGAAAGAACAAAGTAATCCATAGAAGAAAAACACAAGAATAATATAGAAAAGCAGATAGTAAAATAGAAATACATATTGTCAAAGGTATATTTGAAAAATCAAAAAATATAATCTTGTTGAAGAAATTCAAGAACAAAAGATAAATATAATAGGATTATGTAAAACAAAGCTGACTAAGATTAAAGCAAAGTGGATCTTTTAAGATAAGGCTATCTATAAACACTTCTATAGTATTAATAAGAATATATCTTTTGAAGCAAACATCAGTTTTCTAGTTAGAAAAGACTTAACAAAAATATAGTATCTATAAAAGAGACAGAAAAATATATAATAGTTGTCAACTTTCTTATGCAAAGAAATAAAATCTATATTATACAAATTTATATTCCTTTTAATAAGAAAAAAAGTCAAAAAATGCAAAAATATATGACAAGCTTCATTAAAGAAAAATATAAAAATAACTTTTATATAATAGTAATCGGGAATTTTAATATGATATACAATTCATCTAATATAGAACATTATCTTTCAAAGCAAGCTTTAAATCCTCCTGAAATCAGAAATTTTACCATTCAATATATTGAATAAATGGAAATTTATAGATATATAGTACAAGTAATATGGGAAAAAAAGGACAAAACTCCAACATGACAAAATGTAACTATATAGATTATATTTAAATATTACAAAGCTTAATAAAATATCTTATTCTATAGTTCAATAATCAAAGTATGGAAAAAATCATAGATAATAATTATACTATATTTGTAATAATGTATATAATATAGATATTTTTAAAAGAAACACAATAGAAATGGCTAGAAAAAGGTCTGTCAAAAGAATTGATATAAAGGGATCAATATTAGAATAAATAGCAAATATTTAATAATAATATATTATATACTGCAAGCTTAATATAAAATTGAATCTATTATTATAAATAAAATTAAAAAATAGTAAAAAGAAAAGCTGAGTCAACAAGATCTGGGAAATATTTGAAGAATAAATAAACAAAACAACTTATAATAAGTTGATAACAAAGAAATCTACTTCAATTAAAATATGATATTATAAACATAATCTAGAATTTATTAAATATAGAAGATTTTTACAATTAATGATACTCTACAAAAAAGCTATAGTTATAAACAATATTACTAGTCTATAGATCTTAAGTATAGCTATTAACAAATATAATAAAATATATGGATTTAATAATTAGATAGAAAATTATTGTATTCAATATAGTATTTCCAATATTTTTTAAATATTATTAAAAAATAATATTCAAAAACCAAATAAAAGATTTCAAGCTAGTATATTAGAAACAACAAGATAAAAAAGATAAAAAAGTGTAAAAAAATAATAATTAAATCCAAAAAATAATAAAAAATTATTAAATATAAGAAATCATTAATATATTCAGAGGATAAAAAACAAATTAAGAAAAGTATATAATTAAATAAAATTTGGAAGCAGCTAAATTAAAAAAAAAAAGTGAAAAATCTTAAAAAACTTTTGATAAGGTAAAATCAAATGAGGCTTGTTTTTTTTTTATTAAACTATAACTAGTATTAGATGCAAGCTTTTATTTAAGAATTAACTTAATTTGATGGATAATTAAATCCTATAGCAGTTACATCAATCATCTTATACAAACTATATACAGTATTTCTATATTTATGCATATTAATAATAACCTATCACGGTTTACTATAGATGAACTTGCTACCACTCTGTGAGTAGGCAGACCCAGCTAGGGACCGGATGGTTAAATATATAGTCATTAACAGTGAAACAAGTTAATTTAGTAGTAAGCTTTATAAATTTTTGTATTATATTCACTAAACTAGACTGTATTGTATATACCCAATGAAATTTGATCACTCTTCAATACTCTCAAATATTATTCACTCAGATTTCAGAAGAGATCACTTTTCTTCTTTATTATCACATGTGGCATTGGATCAGTTCTATATGACTGATTTTCATTTAAGTGAAGTACCAGATTGGTATATCCTAAACTAGGAGAGCGTGGGTCCTGGAGGCTGTCAGAATAGGTGATCTTTGAGATATTTTATTTTAGACTAGACCAGAAACCTTTCTTTATGCAATTCTTCCAGTAGTACAACCTAAATCTTAGCTCCTGATCAACAGAAGATTAGAAGTCTCATCTTTATACAGCCTAACCTGATTAGAAGGATAATTTTTAATTTTGGTCCTTAAGTGGTATTGAATTACAGATCTTGTGATTGTGACCTAGGAGCACTACTACTGTGCTATTGACCTATAGGTCAATTAGTATTTGTTTTAAAAGAATCAAGCTGAAATTTTAAAAGAAAAAAAAAAAAGCAAGTAAAAGAGAAGAAAGAATAGAAAGAAAAAAGTAACAAATTATTTAGTTAATTGATTTTGTAATTTTTTAATAAATTTTGTAAAATTTATTAAATTTTCTAAATATTTATCAAATTTTAATACTGGATTTGTAACTTTGCTAAATTTTTTATCACAATAATTTTTTTGCTGAATTTTTTGCCCTAGTATTAAATTTTTTGTCAAATTTTGCTACAGTAATTTTTTTGTCAAATTTTTTATTGCAGTATCAATTTTTTATCAAATTTTTTATCACAATATACAAAAAAAAATTTTTTTTTGTTGCAGCATAAAGTTTTTCTTTATTACAATATTATTAGATTTTGATTCAAATTTTTTTATAATAGTGCATCAAATTTTTTTGTTGATTTTTTATTGATATTTTTAATGCTGAGTAGTAGCAATCAAAAATGATTTGTCAATGTCTTTATTATTATATTTTACCAAATTCAGCAATAATTTGGCTGCCAAATAACATAATTTAAATTAAAGCAAGTAAATAATAAATATTTCAAAAGATTACAAATGGATAAATTTTTCAAATTAAAAAAAAAAGAATATCTTAAAAGGGTTAATTCCTAATAAGAGAAGGTTTTAGTAAAGTTTCTTTAAATATATGAAGTACTTTTATTTTTTATTTTTATTTTTTCTTTTCATGTGAGCACATTTGCATATTTTTAAATATATCCCTTTCTTTTATTTCTTCTTTCTCTATTATAGTTTCTTGAAATCAGTTTCTTGAAGAATAATAAATAGTGACAATCTGCCAACAATGATGTTTAAATTAGAAAAGTATTTGCTTAAAATTTATTACAGAGTAAAATATTGTTCATTTTACATACATATTTGACACAATAATAAGCCCATCACCACATTTTGCAATAGGACATTATTTAAACAACTTCGACTTCTATTGAATATTGGGCTTTGCATTTTTGACTATTTGTTTATCTCAGCCACTTATTATCATAGTGACTTGGCGTTAGTACAGATGCTGAAAGTAAAAGTCATTTGCCACACCAAAACATATACGGCATGACTGATATTTATTGTGAATCAAAAAACCTGATATAATCTAAAAATAGAAATTTACAAATTATTTCTCGTTCGATTTTTTCCGATACAAATCTAACAATCTCCGAATTCCCAATAACCATTTTCCTTCTTTGTCAAAATCGGTTGTCATAAGGTTACTATGAATTGCTAGAGCGTTCGCAAAGTCATTTGCCTCGGCATCTGGTAACAAATGAGCACATGCAAATAAAGTTAGAATGCACTCGATGTTGTAGGTAAGAATGTATTTGATGAGGGCAGTGAATGAAAGTGTAAGCGTACATTCGCACATTTTGCACAATCGTCCAAGGACAGATTCAGACAATTGCCCTTTTTCCAATACTTCAAACAATAATTCTAGCCTTTTTTCCGTATCTGATATAATTCGTTTATCTGAACTCTGCAAAATATTGATTTATGTAAGATCAAAAAGAACATAGGATATCAACGTGATTGGCACGTAAATAGTGTTCTTTTCTTCATGATACCTTAACATTCTGTTTGCAATCTTCTAGAATTGTTTTCAATATTATACGAGTTTGGGCAGCGTCTAGTTTTTCGTGTTCATCAACCTTGAAAAAAATCTGTGCGTTTTGAACTCAGAATATAGTCTTTTTGTGAAGATATTGAAATGATTTAGGATACAAATAATTTTAATCCTACCTTGTGTGGCGGATCATTCCAGTGTTGTTTTATGGTTGCGTTTCTGAAGTCTGTCAATTTAGTTTCGGAGTTGGTTAGAGTCATATTTAGTTTTTTTTGGTTAATACTAACAAAGAGTTCGTCGATTGAATAAAGCCTATTGATATAGGCAAAAAAAAATCAAATAAAGTGTTACTATGTAATGATTTCGTTATTGAGAACTGAACAATGCTTATTGATGTACAAAAAAAAAAAAAAAAAAATCGAATGAGTTTACTGTGTAATGACCTCGCTATTGAGAACTGAACAAAGGGGGAGATACAAATATTTTTTGTAACGCAGGTACGTGTCGCACGTATTAAGTCAGTTAAATTTTTATGCTACACACGGTGCATGTAAACAATTATGTAAGGACATCCATTTTGCATATTAATAGCTACTAAAAATATGGGCTTTGTTATTGCCAATGTGTATAGTTATGATTGGTACAAGTTAAGGTTATATAAGAGTACAGACGTTGAAATATCGAATGTCATGGCCATAAACGAAACTTTAGTCATTGAGAGTTTCGTACAATCAGCGAACCGTATTAGAACAAAAGTTTTCCATCGATATTAGTGTGGTCAGCACAATTTAGCAAAAATAGGCAATTCCAGATTTTATCCGCATCTTACCTTTTTCAAAATCACCTGGACTCACAAAAATTATATAGCTAAAATCAAATTTAAGGTTAAGGTCTAAAGATAATGTGTCTTTTAGTGAAATATCAAATAAACATCTATAATATTAATTAAAAAATATGTGAAGTTCACTAAACTAGTTCAGACTAAACAAAACAAAGTCTCAACTAAAAACTCTAATATTTGTCAAAAATGCAAAACTATAAAGAAATAATTAGTTACTTATTTAAATATTCAATAACTAATTTTGAAAAACAGATATCAAGAAAGAAGTAGATAATAAATTGGTTTAATCTATAATAAAAGAAGTGAAGATTACAGTTAATAATTAGGAAACTATTCAAGAAAAAGTTGATATATGAATTAAAAAATATACTGTAGTAATTTTTTTTTTTATAATGCTAGTTTATCCTTGTGCCAGAGTGAACATATTTTATTAAAGTAAAAAGATACCTAAGAACAATTGGGATAAATAATTAGCCATACTATTTAAGGATTTACAAATCAATAAATAGTACAAAGAATAAACTATTTACATCTCACCCAACTAGGATAAAATAATTACATAATTATCTAGTATAAGTATTCTATTTATTGAAACAAGACAAGAAATAATATTAAGTAAAAAGAATTTTTTAATTATATTATCTATAAATTATACCTGACACTCACTAGAGACATAACAAAATATAATCCACTGAGTGACTTATTGTTATTTCTAGATTTTATAAAAGGGAGAAGCTGATGTATTAAGGATCCATTTGTGATACCTATTACCTTCAATATTGAGAATCCCTCATAAGAAGCTTTAATTTTACTAATGCTAACCAAAAAATTTTTATATTGTAATACTATCAAGAAAGTATTTCAGAGAGACTAAATAATTACTTAATGAATTGAGAAGTTGTATTTCCAATATATTAATACCAGATAATCAAAAACTCTTCTAAAGTATCCTGCATCTTATAGTTTTTTTTCTCTGATTGTGTTCATTGGAAAAGGAGAGAAGTAGAGAAGAATTATTGTTTGTTATTCAATGAATTATAGTTCAGATTTTTTTATTCTTTTTGTATAACTAATAATATTATAGATTTTATATTCTATATTTATTCATGCAACTGACTTGCAATTTATGATGAATCCTGGATACTAAGAAAATATATTTAGATATGTAATAGGATTAATAGAGGCTTGTTTATATCTTGGGTTGCTGATATACTCCTATTATCTAATCACTGCATTAGAACTTTGTGCTATTCAAAATTTAGGGTTAAACTAAAGTAGACAAAATCCTTAAAAAAAAAACTGTAAAAAAATACTCGTAAAGTTTCTATTATGACAATAGAATAATGAAATTGTTTTTCAAAGAGTCTTTTATTATTAATAAGACTTTGTAATATTTTTATAACAAATAAAAAATAAATAAAGAAGTCAGATTTACTTCCCTTTAGAACTTTTTTGTTATTAATAAAAAAAGTAAATATTGTCTTTCTGGTCAACAAGAGACAAGTGTTTTGTAACAAAATATAAAAAGAAATAGTGTGAATTATAAAATGACTTTGAGAGTTTTATTCTCAAGTTAATTTAAAGAAAGTGATAAAACTTTATTAGTTTAAAAATATAAAATTTCTTTAAATATCTTTTTTATATATAGTCAAAGAATCAATAAAAAGAGTTGATGAATATACTGTAGTAATAAATTCAAAATCTTTATAATATAATATAGTATTTTTTTTTTAAACCAAAGTCAGGTTAGCATAATATGTTTTTATTGTATATATAAAAATATTTATAATATATTTTGACTTTCACATACTAATTCATCCATTGTTAAAAAAACTATTTCTCTAGATACAACTTAGGAAATAATATTTTACTTCTTTATTAACTTGAATAAATCCTTTAGTTAATAAAATTACTGCCAATAGGTCATTGCTATAGATTATTCTAAATTCTATCTGTAATTAAAAACTGAACTATTTAGCTTTATAACAAATCCAATCCTTAATTATTTCTATATACTTCTTTCCCTCCTTTCTTTTAAAAGCTTTCTGCTCTATGTCTTTTAAGGATGTTAAGGACTCTTTATACTATTGTATAATTTATATATTAAATCTATTCCCAGATTTTTTAGATCTTTTATCTTTTTCAATAATATTCTACATTTTTTTCTATTCTATTACTTTAGTGCAATGGCTATTTCAGATATTCTCATTAAAGTTTTTTTTTATTTTGTAACAAAGCTTATTAATTATGCTCTGTATAAATGCTAGGGAATTTTGTGTTGTGCTTTGAAATAATTCTTTAAGAAGATGGTTTTATTTTCTTTTATATATTCACAGATAATATTGAAAAGGTTTTTATTAAAATACTATATCTTGTTTAGTCATTTACTTGTTTAATTATCAACTATAGGATAAACTTCTTTCTTATTTTTATTTTTTTTTATATAACCCTCTGTCAAGCTAGTTATGTGTGCTTTATTAAACAATTGTAAGCTATACATTATATATATATTGTTAAAGCTAAATTTCTAATTAACTTATTTATCAAAGTCTTATATTTATCTAAAACTCTAAGTACAACTTCAGAAATGATTTATCACTCTATTAATAGTTCAGATAAAAACCCTTTCAACTTCTAACATCATTATCTACAGATCACTGCTATGGATCCTGCACAAGGTTCTAACAAGGATTAAAACCTAACCACTTTATTTCATATTTAATTCCATTTCTTATAATTTCTACAAAGTTTTTGTTTTCACTCTTTTTCTCTTTTTCTCTTTGCCTTGTACTTTATAATCAGGATTATCTTGTGGGTTTTGTCTTCTTACTTCCTGAATCTTCTTGTATTTTGCTTTTTTTATCAATTCTTTGTTCTTGTTTCCATTTAATAATCTTTTTATATCTCACATTCCAGACTTGTTTCCAGATCTGATTGCAAACCTTCTTTTATACTTTTAGAATCCATTTTTTTTGCCATTGTTCCCAGCTTCTTTCCACAATTTAGGTTAGCAACTTCTTTAATTACATTGTCTTCTACTAATTCTTTGCAAAAGTTAAGATTGTTCAAACTTATTTGCGAGATTAATTCTATTAGTCTGGAGACCTATTTATCTAATTTACCTTTTTCTCTTTATTGTCGACTGCTAGTTGTATCATTTTTTTATCTACTTCTCTCTTATGTTCTTGATACAACTTGTTAAATTCTTTAAGGAAAGTCTTAGATCCTTTTTACCATACCACTAAAATCTCAATCTTATAGCCAGAGCATTCTAATAAATGTTCTATTGTCTCTTGATACTAATTACATGCTATACATCTTGTTTTCTTGTATAGGTCTGATCTTCTTATTACTAGCTTGCTTAAGGTAGGGAGTTCATCATTGGTCAATTTAATCAAAAAGCTTCTTTTCTGCAAACTTTTGAAGAAGGTATCCCATGTATTTCCATCCTTTAACCTATCCCATGTCAAATTGTATAAGTAGATTTGATGCTTGTAAACTTGGTAATATCATTTTGTCTCTGTTCTATCTTGCTGTATCTATAATAGAGCTATTAATTTTTTGTTGATTAGTTTGAACTGTCGTTATTGGATTATCTATCACTTCTTTTTACCACATAGTTTTTGTTGGTGTCTTGCTTGATTTGAGATTCTTTCATTCTATTACTGATAGCTTTAAAGTCTCTTTGGCCAGTCAATCAGCTTCTGCATTCTATGAATCGTTAAAATAGTCTTTAACCTTGATCAATGTTAGTTGGATATGTTTTCTCTTTACAAGATCTAGCATTTTTATCCATAATAACCAATTCTTTTCTTTTAACCATCTTTTGTATATCATCTTCAAATCTTCTTTCTCTAGTTTTTTCCATTTAGAGATGCAGACTTGACTATCTATGAAGATCTCAACTATACTATCTATTGAAACTACTAAAGCTATTATAACCAGTGTTACCAGTTTTGCCTTTATGAACAAGAGCCAGTTTTAAACTCCTGTTTGAAATTTATTTTCTTTTCCAACTCCTTCTGTTTGTATCTATGCTACATCTATTTTTGCATTTTCATTTCCATAGTCAATTAAGGATCTGTTGAAGTAAAAGGTTAGCTTCTTCTGTGATCTTTAATTGCATTGGAAAATTTCAAGTAAATGATCTTGATATACTCCTT